TCCCTCAATGACTCTAATGGACCTTGGCATATGTTAAACAAGCTGCTGGTGGACATCTTCGTGTGGTGGCATGAGGTGAACTAATGTACTAGCTTCTTTACCAGTTATTGATAGATATTGATAGAGGCACGAGGTAAACTCGTATACCATCAAAGGTCGACATCTCTAAAAGTTCCAGATAACAACTTGCACCTTAGAGAGTTAGGTGTTCCTATGATGGCCATTTGTGTATTGATGGAGGTAACGTGCACGTAGCGATTGATGTGCCTATCAAACTTGGCCAAGTAGGGAGGTTTAAATCCCACAGGGACATGCACCCATATATCTTATCTAAGAGAATTTGTGGTCCAACAATTTCATTTCCTCTTAGGGATTAGATTTATGTTGGCGTTGCTTGATTTTGTGGACATGATCCTTTAGTGTTTGGTTATGGCAGTATAACTCGTCTATGGCAGCACACATCTTCGTCAGGGCATCGATATCACCTCTACCAAAGTACCTTCTAGGGTAGGGTATTGAGCTATCCTATTAGCCACTAATGAAAGTGGCTAGGTGTAGGAATGATGGGTAACAAATGGCAGGGCGATGGTGATGAAGACGTTGTGGCCCAAGTTTGTTTTCTTAGGGCCCCACGATGGGCGCAACTATAGTGGTCAAAAAGTACATGTTTGAGTGTTCCTCTTGCAAGGACAGAGGGACTTAAAAGCCTTAGTAGATATATCATGTTGTATGGTGGTTGAGGCTTACCCACGCCGACAAGAAGTCATGTACGGTGGTATTTTACACTAGTTTTTAGATTCTTGCTCACGTGGGGTGAGAGGTTCTATAGATGAATGATGTTATTAGATATAAGCATATGAGGGGTGTGATCAGTACAAGTTTAGACATGTATAATCCTCTAATGTGGTAATGAGTATTTATAGAGAACTTTTAGGCCTAGGGTTTAGTTAACCCTGAGTGGCGACAACTATTCCCTTCTGATCAAGAGAAGTTATTGACCTCCTAACCTTTAGGGAGTAGTGATGGATTTCCTCTCCCTTAACTAACAGCTTTTCACACATCATCAGTGTCAAGGGGGATTCCTTAGGTCATTGCTTAGGCATTATTGCTCTTGGACGAGAGCACCCTCATTTAGGACCCTCACAAATATAGCACTGCGATAATAAAATAAGAAATTATTGGAATAAATTTAATTTTTACTTAATAGTTCAATTTTTTTTACTAAATAATTAATAAAATAAAATAAATAGAAAAAATTACTAAAAAAAACTTAGCTTTTATTTAATAATTTAAAAACATGATATCAAAAATTAGTGAGACAAATTTAATTTTCATTAAATAATTAAAATAAGTAAATAAATAAATAAATAAAATTAGTGGTATAAAACTATAGTGATATATTTGTAAGAGACATGCATGGGGCGACACAGGGACCAACCTTTATTAGGGTATGTCGCCTACTGGTATACTCGTCTAAGGGCATGTCTCCTATACATGATTACCAATCACTAAATGGCTTTCTTTGACAAGAAAGTGTGGATGGTGACATGTTTGCAGTCCATAACCGCACCTGGAAGTAGTCATGACGAGATTCCTTGAGAAGTGAGCAATCGACGAGTTTCTTGGTAAGGTGGGACAATTGTTACTTTTTAGAAGCCCACAGATCTTGTTGGAACAAAATTGTTCATTTCCATTGGATTTTGATGATAACAAAGTATTTAAATAATAATTGGGTATACTAACATATGTTTAAGTGTGCAGGCTCATAAGCTTAAAAGTCAACTTAGGATTGACCCTGATAAAAGCATATGAGGAGAAGCTAATGTACTTAGATTCTAAAGGATCAGAATCTGATGACTTAGAACATGGGATCTCAGCTTGTGGTGACATCTCAAATTTTAGAGACCTGAGCTAAACGTACTATGCTTTTTGATTCGTACTCTGTCTCCAAAGCATATCAATCTTGTCAAAGCCATATTATTGAAAAAGTCAACTAGAGTTTCTTAGTGCAAGACTCAAGGAAAGTTGACATGACCGCTTAAGTCTTCCCCAACATGTTGGTAGATACCTAGTATGAGAAAGACACAGTGGATAAAGTTATTACATAAAGGATGAAAATCTTAAAAGGGTTAATTTACAATGTCTCTCTTGGAATTACTTCTCAACAAAGATCACTTTTTCAATTTACCTTCCAACGTCTCTTTTTCCCCTCTATAAAAGAAGTTGAAGATTTGAAGGAAGATAACTAACGAACTATCTAACAAGAACAACATTGAGCGCAACTTTAAGCAAAAGTTTTTATAGTTGTTTATTGCACAAGTTCTTAAGATTTATTATCTTTGTATATCTTAGAAATCTTAAGTGTTTAAGAATCTTTGTGTGTGTTGTATCACTTATATACTTTTCATTTTACATCAAGTATAATTGTTATCTATTCACCTAAACTATTTTTTTAGAGTATAGGAAGTCTCTAGCTAGTTTGCTTGAGCAGTGGAAGTTTCTTGTCTGTGTGCTTGAGAAATAGAAGCTTCTTGCATGTGGGCTTAAGCAGAAGCCTTTTTCCTGTGTGCTTGGACAAAAGTCTTTTTCTAGTGTGATTGAGCAGTTGAAGTCTCTTGCTAGTTTATTTGAGCAAACTGTAATTTGTTTAATTATAATGAAAATATCTTATTGGACAAGAGCACTAGACTAATCTCGGGAGGAATCAAGATAACTCTGTGTGTTTCTTTATTTCTTGCTTCTGAATATTATTCATTCCACCGCTAACAAGTATGAGATCAGATTTTGAACTTGATCAGATTCTGAAGTTGGTTTTTCAGAAGTGAAAAAGAATTCAAATACACACTTCAACCCCTTTCTTGTGTATTTTTCTCACCTTCAAATTCAAGCCCATAGACCTCTATAAATACCTCAACCTTAAGGCTGAGAGGAACAATATCATATTCACCAAAAACATCCATAAAATAGAGTTTCTCACTCTCATAAGCTTGCTCTAACACCACAAAAATAGTAAAGCCTCTGACAACCATTACTAGTCAAGGGTTGTTACACATATGTACTTTTTTAGAAAGTACAGTGACGCCTACCATGGCCCCCGGTAAAACTAACATGGCCATTGTCTTCGTTTGCAGAGGTGGTCACAAGAGCGAAGTGTTATATAAAGGGCAAGGGTAATAATCCCGAGAAGAAGACCCGTGACGTGAAAGAGTGTGTTCCTAACGTCGAAGGCCCATAGCCTCTACGGAAGAACAATTTCACCTCATCCATTAGAGATAAGACAACCTTTAAGCGGGGTAAAAAATCCATAAAGAACTTCTCACCCCGTAAATACTAAAGCCTCTGACAATTCTTACTAATCAAGATTGCTATACATCTGTACTCATTTAGCTAGGACAAAAACAATTTAGTGCCAATACATTTGAATATGTTGGAAGGAATATAAAAAAGTTAGTGGAATTAAGTTAGTTTTTATTAAATATTTAATAAAATAAATATAAGAAATTATTCTAAAAAAAGTTATCTTTTACTTAATAATTAAATAATAATAATAATAATAATAATAATTAAATGAATATAAAAAGTTAATGGACTAACGTTAACTTTACTTGAATATAAGATATTAGTGAGACAAAAGTTAGTTTAAATTTATCTTTTATAATAAAATAAATATAAAAATATTATAAAATAATTATATTTATTAAATAATAATAATTAAATAAATAAGTTAGTGAGATAGTGTTAATTTTAAATAAATATAAGAAATTGGTGGAAAAAAGTGCTTTTACTAAATAAATGTTTTCACTAAATAATTACTAAAATAAAATAAAAACCATAAATTATTAAAATAAGTGAGCTTTTATTAAATAATGAAAAAAATTAAAAGTAATATTTTACTAATTAAAAAAAAGGACTAACTAGTGGGTTGATAATAATAAATAAATATATAAAATTGCATAGTTATTCTTTATTTTGATGCCAAAAATTATTTAAGAAACTTAACAGCTAATTAAAACCAAAAAAACCAAAAGAAAAAACTAATTACAAGAGCCTTGCAATTACTCCCCAAAAAGGTTACCTTGTAATTACAAGACTCTGCCTTTTTATATTGTCCCTGCAGTAGTTTCTTCAATGGTAAGAGTTGCATGAAAATGTCCAATCACTTTAGAGGCAAGTCACATGTTAAGAAATCAAATCTGAAAATATTGTCTTAAAAATTGTATATTTAATTTTTCGAAACTCTAAAAAGTTGTTTCTCCCCACCAGTATTAACTTGGGGCGGTTTTACTCACAACTAGAGCAATTGTTGTAGAAATTAAGTTCTCAGCAGAGACGGTTCAACAGCTCCAGTTGTAGAGATTAATGCGATCCTTTATAGTTGAATTCTGTACAGTTGAGTTTTTGCCCACCAATAAAAGATTATTGTTTGTTTTACATGATGCTTTGCATACACTTACTCCAACAATAGTGAGGGATCCTAATAGAACTAGTTATCACTCATAAGCTCTCTTGACAAATTGTGCATCATCCAAACATCTAAAAGAAGAATACAAGTCGGCAAGAAGCACATATGGTGCAAAATTATCTCATTCTAATTGATAGAGGTCCTCCTCTTCTCTTTTTGCTGAGCTCAAGTTAGCATGACCATAACACAGCCTTCCATAATTTATAATGATTTCTAATTCATGAAACTACTCTATTCGCTCGGCCTCAAACAGACTATGATGCATAGAACTACAATTCAGTATTCAGTCAATGAGTTGGATTACCACCAATAATCATCAAAGTGCTGTCGGGTATCATTAACCATCTTCAAGGAATTAAAGAAATTAAGAACACTGAAATGACGATTAATAGCTTGGAGATGGTTTGAATCCACAACTAGAACTTCTGTTGTAGAGACAATTCTCTCTGTAGAAGTGGTTCGAGAACACCATCGTGGAAATTCATGAGGTCTTATAGAGTTGAGTTTATGTACAAGCAATAAAAACCCAATTGTTTGTTTACAGAGTGCTTTGCACATCATACTTGAACTCGCTCCGGCTATAACCAGGACCTTTATGTACCTTGTTATCGCTCATCAAATCTCTAACAACATGTGCATCATCCCATCTTCCCATAGAAGAATACATGTTGGCAAGAAGCACATAAGGCGCGGAATTTTGAGGATTCAGTCGATAGAGTTCCTCAGCTGCTCTTTTTGCTAAGCTCAAGTTAGCATGAACACGGCATGAGCTTAATACAACCTCCCATACAATTGTGTCATCTTTATACGGCATAGTATCTAGAATGACTTCTACTTCATGAAACCTCCCTGCTCGTCCCAGACAATCTATGATGCATGTATAATGATCCAACATTGGCACCACTTCGAATTTTTGTAGCATTGCATTGAATATTTCAACCCCTTCATCCACCAAAGCCGAGTGGCTACAAGCAGTTAAAACAGCAACAAATGTAATATCATCAGGTTTTTCACCACATGAAATCATCTCCTTATAAAGGCATACAGCCTCGTGACCATATCCATTCTGTGCATAACCGTGTATCATTTCATTCCAAGTAACAATATTTTTACTGGGCATCATATCAAAATAACATCTGGCTGCACCTACATCCCCACATTTACAATACATTTCTGTAAGAGAACTCCCTACAAATACATCATCTACATAACCATCTTTTATGATTTGAGCATGGATTTGTTGTCCTTGAAACAAAGAGGAAAGCTTCGCACAAGAGCTCACTATGGTGGCAAAAGAAAACTCAGTAGGAGAGAAACCAAATTGTCTCATCCGCTTAAAGAAAGCCAAAGCATCTTGCTCAAGAGAATTGGTTGAGAACCCTGCTATCATTGAGTTCCAACAAACAACATCTTGTTCAGAAAATTTACTGAATACATGCTTAGACAACTCCATTTTCCCACATTTTGAGTAGACATTAATAAGGCTACTGCCAACATACACATCATCATAAAATCCAAGCTTCTGGGAAACTGCATGAACCTGTTTTCCAGCCTTGAGAAGTCCCAATTCAGCACATGAACTGAGAATAATAGCCAAAGTTGTCCTATCAGGGTGCTGCCACTGAAACTGCATCTTTCTAAACAGTTCAACTGCCTCTCCATGATCTGCACTCTGGTTATAGCCCGAAAGTATGGCATTCCATGAAATCAAACTCGGGCACGGCATGCAGTCAAATATTTGACGCCCAATTTTAACATCCCCAGATTTAACACACGCCGTCAACATATTAATATAAGTAACATCATCTGGTTCATATCCACAACACTGCATCCTCTGAAAACACTCAACAACTTTCTCAGTGTCGCATCTGTTCCCATACCCAGATATCATTATATTCCAAGAAACAACACTATGCTTATCCAAATTAACAAAAACATTTTCTGCATCATCCATATCCCCAGTTTTAGCATACATATCAAGCAAAGAATTGCACAAATGAAGGTCTCTCTCAAACCCAACTTTAATCGCGAGAGTATGTATATTTTTTCCTTGTGCATTAGTCGAAAAACCATGACTATCATCACACACATCAAAAGATACTCCTTTCGCACATATACCCAAGATGGTTGATAAGGAGACCGAATCAACACGAATCCCTTTTCTCAACATGAGTCTAAACAATTCCAAAGCTTCCATGACTTGATTTGTTTGTGATAACCCACCCATCATTGTAGTAAAAGTAACCTCATTAGGTTCCCGAATATCTTCAAAAACATGAAAAGCATCCACATTTAAGCCACACTTAGAATACATACACAAAAGAGCATTAGCCACATAAATATTACTATCAAGACCAACTTTAAGCACAACCCCATGATTTCTTCTACCACAATTTGCATCTAACAAACCACCACAAGCACTAAAAACAGTAGCAAATGTTATATGAGAAGGTTTAACCGATTCATGTACCATCATTGAATCATAAGTATCAAGTGCCTGTCTTTCATATCCATTTCGAACCATGCTGGTGATTATAGTGTTCAACGACACCGTGTTTCTTTCTGGCATTTGAAGGAATAAACGACAGGCATTTTGCAAATTGTTGGATTTGCAATAAGCTGATAAGATGGCATTAAAGGAGAAGATGTTTTTGTGAGGAATTTTGTCGAACACGTGGTGTGCGGAAGTGATGTCATTGCACTTGGAATATAGCTCGACGAGGCGATTAGAGAGAAAAGTGTCGGAGAAAAGGGTGAAGCGGAAAACTTGAGCGTGGATGATTTTGGCGGATAATAGAGATCTGTTGGTTATGCAAGATTGCAGTAGGTTCAACAAATTCAAACTCTTGAATTCCATTAAAATTCATAACAGCTTACACCTCATGAAAATGAATCAAACCTAAACAGAACAAATGCTACCCAACACCAACACTAACCATATGCACAAACTGACTCAGTATTAGGGGAAGAGAACAACATGGATATCCAAGTGGAGCCGAAAAGGAGAAGGGAGGAGGTTAGGGGAAATGGCAAGCACAGCAAAGTAACATGTAACAATGCGGTTCTCGTAGTCACAACTGATAAAAATGTTACGTTTAATGGATGATTTAGTGTGTTCCCTTTAGTCTCTTAAGAATAAAATCCTATATGATTGTCTTTTAACTTTATTTCCGTTAATGTATTTGGTCATTTATGTTAGTTTGTATTAAAAAACATATTAAAAAAAAGGTATGATGGATTACTTACATCTGATTTAAATTTAAGTATTCTTGAAAAACAATTTAAAAAAATCTGATTTAGAATTTAAGTATTCTTGAAAAATAATTAAAAAAAGTCATGCTGTAATTTGTTGAAATTAAATAAGAAAGTGATGAACTTGAAAGTCATGAAGTTCAAACATTAGGGCAAATCAAAATATCTCTCTGAGTAGGGCAAACCAAAACATCTATCTAAATAGGGCAAACTCCATTGAAGACGATTTCACATACTAACGCCATTGAAGACGACATTAACGTCATTGAAGACGATATCAACGTTTCTCTTATTACAACCAAGGTATGGTATTTCATCTTTAACCTACTAAAAACGTAAACATTTCCTTTTGGCCACCTTCCTTAGTAGTTTTGCTATCTTATGTAGGTTTAATAGGTAATTGAGAAGAGGTTTAAGTGCGTTGTTCATTATTTTGGTGAGTTTTCTAGGGAGTTTGCTAACTTCCCCAAGTCAACCACCACAAACAACACCTTCAAGTCAGCCACCACTTGCAACAATTTCAAGGCAACCACCACTTGCAACAACTTCAAGTCGAGTCTATCTAATGATACTTTTAATCGAGTCTTTCAAGTGAGGCGTTTAGGCGAGTCTATCTAATGAGACTCTTAGTATCTCAGGTGAGGCGATTAGATGAGCTTGTCTAATAAAACTCTTAATTGACTCCCTCACGAGAGGCGCATATATGAACATGTTTGATGGACTCTTAGTCGAGCCCCTCACGTGATACGTTTAAATGAGTGTGTCTAATGAAACTCTTAGTCGAGTCCCTCATGCGATCCGTTTTGATGAACTTGTCAAATGAGACTCTTAGTCGAATCCCTCAAGCGTAACGCTTAGAAGTTCTTGTTTGACGAGACTCTTAGTCCAGTCCCTCAAGCAAGGTGCTTATATGTGCTTGTTTGAAGAGACTCTTAGTCGAGTCTCTCAGGCGTGGCATGTAACACCTTAATCCTCGAATCAACATTTAATAAAATAGTTCAAATAACATTCACAAATTAGGGTGCCACGTATACTTCATCATGGCATAAAAACCTCAAATATCAAATAGTCGTGTAAAAGTAAGCACCGAAAATAAACGAGTTTGACATAAAAGTCTCAACAACAAAACTCCAAAATAAATATAAAAAATATAACACAAATAACGGAAGACATCACATCCCCAGTGCTACATATCAGAGTGACTCCTCTAAGACCCAAAGATAAAAGCTAAAAAGGGTATCGACACCATCCTCTAACTCAACAACAACTTTTGTACTTGATTATTTGTACTCCCAAAGAGCACAGATGCCACAGCCAAAAAAAGGGGGTGAAAATACATCTAACAAATGCTAACAATGAAATTCAACAAAGCAGTATAGTAATAACGAAATCTAAATCATCTGAATCACTCTCAAACACAAACAAAATAAATAACAATGCAATGTAATACTAATGCCGCCAACTCCTTCTCAAATGCATATGGTACCAAAGTCACTAGGATCAGAGGTATGTGTTGCGGTGAAATTTGGATGTCAAGCTATTGATTAACTTGAATCTTAATTCATTTACAACCGGTCTTTGATTTATCCGAAGGAAAGGTTAAAGAAAGGAAAAACCTAAAGGGGAGAGATCTAAGGTTCGGGGGTTGGTTAAGATTAGGGAAGGTATTAGCACCCTAAACTTCCGTAGTACTCTACGGGAACCTTTTGTTTATTTTTTTATTTGTTTCATTTTTTGCTTTAAGGGTATGTACAAAGGATTAAGGGTTTAAAAGACCTAAGGGGTTAATTCTAAGTTTACTCGGCAAGATGTCGCATCTTGTGCCTACATATCCTTACGGGAATGGAATCAGAGTAATTGTAGTTCCCCTCAAAAGGGAGGTTAGAGACTTCTTGACTGTGGTCAAGGTCCCAAGGGGAATAAACGCATCTTAAGGACACGCTTACATGGAGTCTTGAACTCCGATCTCTATGTTATAAATTGTTAAGTGCATTAGGGTTAGGTTAGGGATTCCGCGGCGGGAAACCCTAAAATGAGTGCGGCGACTCTTTGACCTAAAGCTAGGGGTAGTTTTGTAATTTTGTCCACGGCGAGACATTTGTGAAAAGTTAGGGTTTGTAAGGGTTTGAAGTTTTGAGGACTATTGGCGTGGCGGCCAAACAGCTAGACCTAATCCTTCGGAGGAATGCAATGGGACAAATTAACGATGCAAATGCGCGAATTTAAACCATACAAACAGCAGAAATTAAAGTGCGGAAAGGTAAACGCGATAATTTGTTCGCGAAGTTACAAATGAGAAACAGATACAATTATAATACAACTTGAATTGAAAAACACATTAAAATAGCTAATAGCAACGTAACAAGCTGCACATTGAATACACAAGGTTAGTAGACAGAGTCAGACAGTAATCAGACGAGTTATGAAACGGAAGTGCGAAAGTTATAGATATTCTTTGTTGTTTATTTGTGATATATAAAAAAGCTTTTGATTTAAGTTAAAAAAGAGGTTTTAATATTATTAAAAAAAACTTTTTAAAAATAGTCTTAATTTAATTATCTAACAAAAAGGTTTTATTTTAAATAAAAAAAAAGGTTTAATGTTATTATTATATATATTTTTAAAAAACAGTTCTAATTATTATTTTAAAAAAAGATTTTAGTTATTATTTTAAATTTATCTAAAAAAAAAGTTTTCTTAAAAATAATAGGTTTTCATATTAATTTGGAAAAGATGTTAATGTTATTTATTTTAAAAAACAGATTTTTATATTATAACAAGTTTTAATAAATTAATGATAATAATAATAATAATAATAGTAATAATAATAATAATAATAATAAATAATGATAATAATAATACTAATAATAATAATAATAATAATAAAGTAATAATGAATTTTAAATGTGCCAAATAACCCAACAATGTTGCTAACGCAGAAATGCGCTCAGCGCAACCAGATCTAAATCGGACGAAACAAAATTTATCGCAAAGAAAAAGAAATTAAGCAAAAAACAGTATTATTGCTCACACAAAAATGCGATCATCGCAACCAGATCGAACTAACACAAATGTCACGCGTCATGCACACAAATGTGCAAACATCGTATCGGTATAATTCGATCAAAAATTAATCTTATATATATATATATATAAACTCTAACAATTTAAAAATTATAAATATATAAACGTAACAGTAATAGATGAAGAAAAAGAAATAACGGTAATAGATGAAGAAAAAGAAATAACGGTAAAAGATGAAGAAAAAGAAACAACAGTAATAGATGAAGGAAAAGAAATAACGGTAAACGATGAAAAAAAAGAAACAACAGTAATAGATGAAAGAAAAGAAATAACGGTAAACGGCACTCACTCCTCTTAGGTTTTTTTCCTTCTCCCCCCTTTTTTCAACAAGGCAACACATGTATATATAGGGAGCAAATTAGGGTTAACACCAAATTGTCAATAATGTCCCTAAAGCCCATTTTAAAGCCCAAACTAAATAATTAGTTAAGAAAAAATATAATTTAAATAATTTAAAATAATTAAAATAAACTTAAAATAAAAACGATTTCTAAAATAAAAAATATTATAAAAAGAACAAAATTTTTTCTAATATTTTTTATTTTATGATTTTTTGGATATTTTTATGAATAATTTAGAAAAAAGTGAAAAAAATAATATTTTAAAAAATGATTTAATTAAAATACGAAAATAATAATTAAATAATAATAAAAAACTATTTTTGTTATTTTTTTATGAGAGATAGAAACATTTAAAGTAAAAATAATAAAAAACAAAAAGTGACTAAGGTGAGATTCGAACTCTCAACCTCTCACACTCACAACTCCTTACACATGTCCTCTTGCCAATTGTGTCATTTTTACTTTTTAGAAAAAAATACATGTCATATGATATTTACCTGCAAAAAGTCAAACGACTACACAAATTTGTTAGTAATTGATTAAATGCAATAAAAATGCAATGAAATGCGACGACAAATCTTAGGGCAAAATTTGGGGTATTACAGTTGCCTCTATTTAAATAACTTCACCGGGTGATTCGAGCAACGGAGACTCGAGAAATCGTGGTGGAGGGATTTAAATACAGATAACCGAAAATTTTGCCTTTAGACGCAGCGCTATGCAATGATATGGACAAAACAAAACGAACTATAATGCTAAATATAATATGAATCTGATATGATGCGTCATGCGTATGATGAAAATGACAAATGCACGGATACAGACGAAACAACGTCACAGGGGACGACCCACCGAGGAATTGCACTAGGGAAGAAGACATGTCATATCTGGAAGAACGTCGGGTAGACACGACACAGAATTGTTGATAGGTGCCAAGTAAATTAGAAATTGTCCGCAAGGTAAGACGCGAGTAAAACACGACCTCAGGAGAAAAACGCAAATGGGGATAAAACACCCAGGATGCCAAGTAAATAAATTTTGCCCACAAGGTAAGACGCGAGTAAAACACGACCTCAGGGAGAAAAAAAAGCAAATGGGGGTAAAACACCATGATGTTAGGTAAACCCAGGAATATCTGGTAAACGGGGAATAAAACACCCGGGATAAAGGTACATGGGGG